TTGCTTATGGTGCTTTTTAACTTTATGTCATATGTGCTGGAAATGAATAAATAAGAGCAAAAACTATTATAGTGACTCACATCCTGGATAATTCAGCAATATTCTGTCTTTATCAGATTCTTCCATTTTATCAATCTTTGAAGTAAAAAAAAAAAAAAAAAATGACCCAATCATATGTAGTTTTCTTTTTTTGATAAAAACACTGAATACTTGGCATGGATTTTTTTTTTTTTTCTGCCATCTTTGTGTTTTCAGCCTGAATAATTTATTTTGAAAAAAAAAGTCCACGTGTTTATTCCCTACTGAATAACAATAATGATGATGACGGTACATAATAAAACCAAGAATAACTATAATGCTCTTCCTTAATGCCAGGCTTAATACTAAGGTTTTACATTCACTACTGGATTTAATCCCAAGGTGCAAAAATAATGCAATTTATTTTTTGTAAACCCCATATTCTTTGGTTCAGGTTTTCATATGTAAAAACTATGTATTCTCTCTGTTAGTCAAATAATGATTACAAACCTCTAATTATTCGTTGTTAGTGAAATCTTTTGGGAGTATATGGAAAAACATGATTTAGAGCTGCTCGGTCAGCTAGAAAATTATTAGATGAAGATGAATGGTGGGAAGTTTTGGAAGAAATTTGACTTGGAGATAATAAAGAAATAATAATAAGCCATGTTTCCTGAAGAACACTGCAGTCATATTCTCACCACTTCTGTCTATTGTGATATCTATATCTTGTACCCATTAATGTTTTTGCTAGTTTTTAAGTTGCCAGCAGTCCCACTTATAATGTCTGAACTTCAAAATTTTAATTTTACCTGTTGTGGAATATAATTTTAATCTGTGTCTAATTGCTTTTTGTGGATTAACTGCATTAAATCCAATGAGGGTAAACTTAAACAAGTGGTTGCTAAATCCTCATTAAATAGAAAAGCATCAAGAATTCTGTTATAAATACTGCTCTACAAGTCAGCATCTTTCCTCTCTCCTTCTAGAAATCATATTAAAATTCTCTCAGAAACAAAGAATTGGATAACTCCGTTTTCGGAGAAACTCTGAGATGTAATTGGTCTATAGATTACAAATACATGCAAGTGTTAAGACTGGACAAAAGCCATTGTGAAGAAATGAGGAGAAAGTGTGTAGAGGTGAGTCCACTGAGGGAAGACCTCAGAAAACCCCAGGAAAAATTACCTGCTTGAAAGCGAAGGACTCATTCTAGATTGCAAAAGCTTGTCCTAACCTCATTGTAACAATAGAAGCAAAATAAGAAGGACTAACAGAAAAGCTGTCAAGGATTCAGTCTCATTTAGAAAAGTAGAAAAGGAGAGTTTACACAGGCAGGTTAAAAAAAAAAAAAGAGCCATATTTGAAGGAAGCCCTTTGTTCCTGTGGTAGCAAGAAAGGAAAAATCCCTTATAGGGTTAAACCCTAAAGGCTACAAAAGTAGCTTCCTATAAATGGAAACT